TCCCCGGGTGCTGCAGTGTGTCCTGGGGCAGGTGGGAAGGCTGTGTGGGGCAGTGGGGCTGAGCAGAGCCTGGGGACACGGGCACTCTGTGTGCACACCGGGACAGTGGGAGGGTGGGGGGGTGTCCGGGAGGGGGGGCATCCCTCCCTGCTTTGGCACGGCCACCCCCACGGTGGCATTTAATTCTGCCGTGGGACTCTGCGCTGGAGCGGCTGGAGAGTGCGTGCACCCGCTGGCCCTCCGGCTCCGTTTGGAGACTGTCACCTCCAGGAGAGAAGCTGTGGTGGCTCAGCGTGTGCTTGGGAAGCTGGGGCTGTCCCTGGCAGGAGGCAGCAGCCCTGCGGGAAGCCCTTGGGTTGGGTTTCTTCAGCCCCTGGCTCCTGTCCCGCTCCCCTTGACAGTGTAACTCACGTGGGAGCAAGGGGGGCTGCATGGGGCCGGGCTGCACCAGGCTCGGGGCACTGCTCACGTGCCAGGGAGAGCTGAACAGCCGTGTCCTTGTGTCCACGCTCACGGGATCTTCCCTGCACTGGAAGGGATCCTCTTTTCTTTGCTGCATGTGTGGGGAAGGCACGGCTCCGTGGCTGGGGCAGGGCTGGGCACACTTGGGCCGTGCCGGGAGCCTGTAAGGGCTGGCACTGGGGGAGATCAGTTTAGCTCCAAAATCTCAGTGCAGTTACGGGCCTGGGGGCTGCAGGCAGCTCCCTTGCACGCTGCCTCCCTGCACATATGCAGGGCAGGGTGCAGAGAGGACAGACCTGATGGCGGCACCAAGCCCCTCCCTGTCCCAGGCCAGCATCTCTATCCGCTCCTCCAGCCTCAGTGCCTTTCCCTCCACGCTGGCTTCCCAAAAACATCCCCATCTCCATCCCCTTGCCTGCTGCAGCACAGGGGGCATAGGGCAGGTGGGCACCTGGAGCTGTGACCCTGCAAAGCGGCTGCGCCAGGCTGGGTGCTGCCAGGAGGCAGGAGGGTGCAGGCAGATGGGTGACTGCGGTTGTCCCCTCACTGGTTCCCTGCAGGCCATGGGGTGCAGGGGGGATGAGAGCGTGCAGGGGGAGGGCACGGGGCACTCCTGGGGCTGTGCAAGCCAGAGGGCATCAGGGCACCCACTCTGCAGGGCCTGAGAGGAGTGGTGGTGCCACCGTTCCATTTGAGGGTGTGGGCGCCCTGGGCCAGTGTGTCGGTAGCCCCCAGGCACATCAGATGCGGGAGGGTGCAGGCACTGCAGCGAGTCCTTGTGGTCTGAGCCCTGCAAGAAGGGCTGGTGCTGGGAACACGCAGCCCTGGCACTGGGCACTGCTGGGAGGCAGCTGGGATGGCACCCCAGCCGCTCCGTGTCTCCAGCAACACGTGAGGTCCCCAAGAGCATGGACAGGCGGTCCCCAAGAGCATGGACAGGCAGTCCCCACTTCCCCTGGGGTCAGCCGAATGGCCACTGCTAGCCCCACGCCTCGCGTGTCCCCCAGGAGTGGGGCCACAGCCCCAGCCAGCGCCGTGCTGGGAATCTGCCCTGCCTGTCCCCACACTGAGCAGGGGACGGCCACCGTCCGGCCCCTGAGCCTGTGAGGGTCTGGCAGCTGGGCTTGGCAGCTGCCTGCACGCTGACAGCACCGGCTATTCCCAGCCCCGCACTGCCAGTGCCTGTGCTGAGTCAGGGGCCTGGGGCACGGCTGCCACCCCTGCACCCTGGCACAGAGCCCTTTGCCCCCAGGGACCCCTGGGTGCCCTCCTGCACCCAAATCCCAGCCCACTGGCTGCAGCATCTGCTCCTCGAGGGCCCAGCTCCAACAGCTGGGTGACAGGCCCATTCAGAGATTTGTCAGTCTAATTAAAGTCTTAACAGCCTAATCAAAGCCTTATTGTCAGTCCAGTTGTATTTATAGTCCCACTCGTCACAGCACGCTCCCCATATGGCTGCCAGTGCAGTCGCAGCCCCGGGGTGCTGACGTTCGCCGGGGAGAAGGGGCTGGGGGAGCTGAGGGTCCTGCTCTGCGCCCTCTTCCTTGCTCTTACAGCAAGTAAGCCTCTCCCTTACGTCCAAATTTGCTGGTTGGGAGCCATTTCCCAGGCGGTGGGGGCTTCTTCTTGGCTCTCCTGGGCACTCCCAGGGCAGTTTTTCCCAGCTCCCGGGGCTGCTTCTCCCCGGGGAGCAGTGACCTGGGAGCACCAGGGCTCCGATACCCCCCAGGCTGTGGGGCGGCTGCACTCGCAAGTTTTTCTGTTTTCCTCCAACACCTTTCGAGCTCCGGCTTCCCGGTAACGCAAATTAATATTTCATGAGCACGGCGGGGTGAACTCAACACTTAAGGAAAGCAATGACCCAGCAGGAGACAGGCGCAGGTGCGCTCGCACACGGGCAGGGGCACACGCACCTCGCACACGGGTGGGCACGGCCGGAGCCCACCTGGCGGGACCCGGGTGCGGTGGGGGATCCGGCCCCGCTCCCCCCAGCTGCCCTCTCTTTTCCCTCCCCAGTGGCTGCCAGCGCGGAGGAGGCAGAGCCATGGCATCGCTGCTGTGCAATGCCCGTGAGTGCCCCGGCGGAGGGGAGGCACGGGGCAGGGCACTGGGCCATCCGGATTTACGCTGGGGCAAATCTGGCCCGTGGGTTGAGTTCGCCTTGCCACACTTGGGAGCATCCCTACTCCACCGCGGCGATTGGGATCGGGCTTGGCAGCGCCGAGGGTGGGTGGGAAGGGTCGATGGGGAATTACCTTCTGCCCCTCTTGTGGTGAAGAGAGTTTGGGGTCCGTCCCTCCTCCATCCTAAATCGAGGGACCACGTGGGGTCTCGGGCAGGAGGGAGCAAGGTAGCAGAGCGCAGTGCCCGGATACCCCCGCCCTCAGTGATGCAACCCATACTGCCCCCAGGCATCCAGCTCACAGACACGCTGGAGCAGATGCAGCAAGGGACGCTGATGCGCAAAGTCAAGTCCAAGAGCTGGAAGAAGCAGCGTTACTTCAAGCTGCAGGATGACTGCATGACCATCTGGTATCAGTCCAAGAGGACAGGCAAAACTGAGTCTGCCTGTGAGTACCGGCTGCTCTGTGTTGTCCATGGGGCCATCAGTAGGGTTCAGAGTGAACAGGAGTGTGACTGTATGGAGATTCTTGGAGCCATGCTTGCGAAGGGTGCTGGGGCATTCAAGAGAGGCTCTGTCTGCATGTGTGGGCTCTTCTCACCCACACCTCTCCATGGAGCATCCTGCCCCCAGCAAGACACATGGTCACAAGGGCTGAGTAGAAATTGCAGCTGATACAAGTGGAAGCTCTGGCATGCCAGCGGAGGAGTAGGCAGACAAACAGAGGTGTGGATGGATGAGTAGCTCCATGGATGGATAGGTGGGTGGGTGGGTGGGTGGGTGGGTGGATGGATGGATGGATGGATGGATGGATGGCTCAATGGTTAGATGGATGGATGAGTAGCTCAGTGGGTGTGGGGGATGGATGGATGAGTGGAAGAAGGGATGGCTGGAAGGACAGATGACTGTGGGCAGTGCCCCCTGCCCTGCGGTCCTTGTCCCTCATAGACAGGCCTCCCCTCCCTCTGCCCCAGTCTCCATCAGTGATGTGGAGACAGTGCGGGAAGGGCACCAGTCGGAGGTGCTGCAGAGCCTGGCCGAGGAGTTCCCCCCCGAGCGCTGCTTCACTATTGTCTTCTTTGGCCGCCGGGGCAACCTGGACCTCATTGCCAGCTCGGCAGAGGAGGCGCAGTGCTGGGTCCAGGGCCTGCGCCAGCTCATCGAGGTGGCCACCAGCATGGACCAAAGGGAGAAGATAGACCAATATCCTTCCTGCAGGCACCACTCCGCCCTCCACACCCAGTCCTTCCCCCATCTCCTGCCTTGCCCCAGTGTGTGCTTAGCTCTTCTGGGTCTCACCATCTGCATCAGGGCAGGGAGAGCCCACAGAAAAAGGAAAAGAGGCCCTCTGATGCTCCCCAGCTGCACGTCTCTTAGCCAAGGTCCTTTCCCTTAACATCTGCCCTGGTTTCTCGCACGTGGATTCGTGACTGGTTTCAGAAAGCCGATAAGAATAAGGATGGGCGCATGAACTTCAAGGAGGTGCAGCGTCTTCTCAAGATGATGAACGTGGACATGAATGAGGATCATGCCCTGCGGCTCTTCCAGGTAGGCACTGCACCTGAGCACCTGGAAGGGCTGGGGAGGGGCTGGAAGGGCTGAAACAAGCTGCACAACACCCCCCTGCAGAAGGATGTGGTCAGTTTCTTCTGTCCGTCCGTCCGTCCGTCCGTCCATCCATCCATCCATTTATTTGTTCACCCAACTACCTGTTTAGCCAGACAAACATCCATTTGTTCATTTATCTGTCAACCCAACCAGCCAAGGCAGCTGTTCCTCCCTCCCATTCATTTGTCCACCCAGCTGCTTATCTGTCCACCCAGCTAACCAGCCATCTGTTTATTTATCCATCAACCCAAACAGCCAGCCAGCTGCAGCCAGCCAGCTGTCCATCCGTCCGTCCGTCCGTCCGTCCGTCCGTCCGTCCGTCCGTCCGTCCGTCCGTCCGTCCGTCCGTCCGTCCGTCCGTCCGTCCGTCCGTCCATCCATCCATCCATCCATTTATTTGTTCACCCAACTACCTGTTTAGCCAGACAAACATCCATTTGTTCATTTATCTGTCAACCCAACCAGCCAAGGCAGCTGTTCCTCCCTCCCATTCATTTGTCCACCCAGCTGCTTATCTGTCCACCCAGCTAACCAGCCATCTGTTTATTTATCCATCAACCCAAACAGCCAGCCAGCTGTCCATCCGTCCGTCCGTCCATCCATCCATCCATCCATTTATTTGTTCACCCAACTACCTGTTTAGCCAGACAAACATCCATTGGTTCATTTATCTGTCAACCCACCCAGCCAAGGCAGCTGTTCCTCCCTCCCATTCATTTGTCCACCCAGCTGCTTATCTGTCCACCCAGCTAACCAGCCATCTGTTTATTTATCCATCAACCCAAACAGCCAGCCAGCTGTCCATCCGTCCGTCCGTCCATCCATCCCTCCCTCCCTCCCTCCCTCCACCTGTTTGTCCATCTCTCCATCCATGGATCCATCCATCTATCAGTCCACCCAACCAGCCCTCCATCTGCTAATCCATCCATCCATCCATTCATGCATTGATTGATGCCTACCACTGCCGCTGGCGTGGAGGCTCTGTGCACTCCGCCGGGGGTGGGCAAATCCCTCCACAGCCCCATGGGGTGGCCAGGACACCCCATTTTGCCCCGGCTGGGTGCTGAGTGAGCTCCTTTGCAGGCTGCTGACAAGTCGGAGTCGGGGACGCTGGAAGGGGAGGAGTTCGTGCTCTTCTACAAGGCCCTCACGCAGCGTGAGGAGGTGCTGAGCCTCTTCCAGGACTTCTCTGAGGATGGGAAGAAGCTGACGCTGCTGGAGCTGGTGGATTTCCTGCGGCAGGAGCAGCTGGAGGATGAGGGCACAGAGGAGCTGGCCATGGAACTCATTGACAAGTACGAACCGTCGGAGACAGGTGAGAGCCTGCCCGGACATCGGCTGTGCTCTGCACAGGGGGAAGGAGGGAGCTGAGACCCACAGCCCCATCCTGCTGCGGGGGGGCACAGGGGGAAGGCTCACCATGGTGTGATCTGGATGCAGTTCCCCTTTTTTTTGGTCCATTCCTGGACCATTTTGGTGTAGAAGGTTGACCAGCCATGGGGTGCGAGCTCCAGCTTTGGGGTCCGCTGCCCACCTTCTCACGGCTACTGCCCCGGGGCGTCTCTCCCTGTGCCCCAGCCTCTGGCAGCAGCCATGCCCACCAGGTTGGGGATGCCAGGAGACGCCAGCAGCCCCGTTTGTCCTGATTCTGTCCCCTCCGGGTCCCAGGCTGTTGCTGAGCCTCCCCCTCTGCCTGCAGCCCGGGCTCGCCACGCGCTGAGTGCTGATGGGTTCCTCATGTACCTCTGCTCCCCGGAGGGCTCCATCTTCAACCCCCGGCACCGGGCGCTGTGGCAGGACATGAGCCAGCCGCTCTGCCACTACTTCATCTCCTCCTCCCACAACACCTACCTGATAGAGGACCAGATCCGGGGCCAGAGCAGCATCGAGGGCTACATCAGGTAAAGGGGCTGCTCCCTCCTGGCTGTCCCCAACACCCTCCTGTCCCAGTGCTGTGCCCCGGGCAGCTCCATGGGGCAAACCCACCAAGAGGAGAAGCTCCTTTGCCCCCTCCTGGTCCAGCACCCCTGTGGCCATGCCATGTGGTGCCCAGCAAGGGAGTCCGTTTTGGGGATGCTGAGCCCAGCTCTTAATGCCCTGCATGCAGCAGCATCTCCAACCTTGGCGGTTGTCCCCTGGTTCCTGCAGGGGTGACACCCACAGCCAGAGGGGAGGGCAGGGGGCTGGTGCCCTGGCCGGGTGTGGGGTTCCAGGGGTGACCACCCACCCGTAGGGCTCTGAAACGGGGCTGCCGGTGCCTGGAGGTGGATTGCTGGGACGGGCCGAACGGGGAGCCCATGGTGTACCACGGCCACACCTTCACCTCCAAGATCCCCTTCCGGGAGGTGGTGAGCACCCTGGGGAAGTACGCCTTCAAGGTAGGTCACTCTTCCCCAGGTGCTGGGTGTCATGGGTGGCCCTCGGCAGGTGCAGGGGGACATGGCTGCAGTTTGGGGCAGTGATGGGTCTCTGCAGGGGGAGCTGTGCTGGGGCTCACACGCCTGGTGCTGCAGCAGGACTGACCCCACTGCAGGCGAGGAGGGTGGCTGTGTCCCTTCCTGGGAGACAGCACTGGGGGGGGTCTGACCTACAGCCCTGCACCGTGCCGTGCCGGGGGATGGGGGCTCATGCAGACATGGTCTGCTGGGGGTGCAGTGGTGAAATGGGGCCTGGGGGATGTGGGAGTGAGATGGGATATGGGGGATGCTGGGGGATTGGAGGGGTATGAAGGTGTCAGGGGGATACCAGCACACACAAGGGGCTCCGTCCTGGCGCTGATCACACCTGGGCAAAGCCCTTGTGAGAGCTCCTCAACTCCACTGAGGCTGATCTCCACTTGTGCACGTTGCTCCCCAGACCTCGGACTACCCAGTGATCCTGTCCCTGGAGAATCACTGCAGCATGGAGCAGCAGGAGGTCCTGGCCCAGCAGCTCAAGGCCATCCTGGGGGAGCAGCTCCTCACTGCCACCACTGATGGGCGCGTCCCCACCCAGCTCCCATCCCCAGAGGTAGGGACAGAGCGTGGCCGTGCTGGACATCACTGTCCTGCTTGAGAGTGGGGTGAGGAGGTGGCTCTGCTGTCCAGAGGAAAGGCCATCCCTGTCCCAGCGTCGTCCTGCTCTGCTGGAGCACTTGGGGACCCTGGGGACACTATGTCATCACATTCACAGGGGTCTCAAAGCTGTCCCCAAGGTTGTCTCCCCGTGCCCTGCAGAGCCAGAGCGACAGCAGGGTAGAGCCCTCCTACCCTATCCCCTCCTCGGTGTTGCAGGGAGCTGGTGGTGCTGGCCCCCAGCAGTGCGGGGTCCCAGGGGACAACAGGTCCCATGGAGGAGATGGGCACCCCAGGGTGCCTACCTCTCCATCCACAACCCCGCAGGAGCTGAAGCACAAGATCCTGCTGAAGGGGAAGAAGATCGGGCGGCTGGAGGACATGCTGGACGGGCCAGGTGACGAGGCGCCCGATGTGTCTGATGATGACAACGGGGCAGAAGCAGAGGAGAGGCGGAGGGTGAAGGTGGGTGGCCTGGGCTGTGGACCGGCTGGGAGCGCTGAGCCACTGGACACAGCTGTGGGTCGTGGTGACATCCCAGTGCTACGGAGAGAGGCAGAGACTGCAGGGACATCACTAGGGAGGGGGAACAGCCCTTTCTGCCCCTGGCCATGCCAGCCTCCTCTTTGCACAGCTGTCCCTGTGGTGGCACCGTGCCAGGGGTCCCCTGCCTGCTCCGTTCCTGGCAGGAAGGCTGCCTGTGGTGGGGATGCTGCCACCCCCAGCACCCCCTGGCTGTTCTCAGCTGCCCGGGCTCTACAGCCCCGGTCCTGGGTGAGCGCTGGGGGACGGTGCACGCATCGTGGGGACCTAACACGGCTCTGCCTTGCAGAAGGACAAGGAGAGCCTGGCGCAGGCGTTGTCTGACTGCATCGTCTACTGCAAGAGCGTGTCCTTCCGGGGCTTCCAGGAGGCCCGCAGCCATTCCCGGCCCTCCGAGATCTCCTCCCTCGCTGAGGCCAAGGCCAGGAAGCTCATCCGGGATGCAGGTGAGGCAGAGGGGGCAGTGGCATGCAGGGAGTGGGCCAGGGTGGAGGGGGCAGGCGGCTTCCTCGGGCATAGGGCCAGAGCCTCCAGACACCGAGGTTCCCTCCCTGTCCGGGAGAAAGAGGGTGCAGCGGGGCAGTACCCTGGGTTTTGGCTCCGGTGGGTGAGGGGGGCTTATTGGCTCAGAAAATGAGGCACGATGCCTGGGCTCCCGGGAGGGGAGAGGGATGAGAATTTGTGGGCGGGTGGATGGATGGATTGGAGGATAGATGGATGTTTGGATGGGTAGATGAGTTGGTGGGTGGGTGGATGAGAGGATGGGTGGGTGGAAGGGTGAACAGCACATGGTGTGGGTGGCTGTGCAGGCCAGGGAATGACCATGAGTGGCCCTCACGCTCCATCCCTAGGGAATGAGTTTGTCCGCCACAACACCTGGCAGCTGACACGTGTCTACCCCAGTGGGATGCGGACTGACTCCTCCAACTACAGCCCCCAGGAGATGTGGAACGTGGGGTGCCAGATAGGTATGGCTGGGGGGCGTCAGGGCTGCAGACTGGGGAGATGCCCCAGGTCCCGTGCCAAATGGCACCATCAATGCCCGTGTTGGTGCCAGCTACAACCCTGGCTGGGGCCAGGACTGGCTGCAGGCTCTTGCCCTGCACTGGGGAACCCAGGGGTACCCAGGTATTGGTGCCTTGGCCCCTGTGTGGCCCCGCATCTCTCTGGCCACGGGGGCAGGCTGGTTCTCACCTTCAAGAAAGGCACGGTGTCCAAGCTGCCCTGAACCCTTTCCCTACTGCCTTCCCCCAGTGGCCCTGAACTTCCAGACGGCCGGCATGGAGATGGACCTGTGTGATGGGCTCTTCAGCCAGAATGGCCGCTGCGGCTACGTGCTCAAACCACCCTTCATGAGGGATGAGGAGACTCTCTTCAACCCCAGTGACCCCAGCAGCCGGGAGGGCCCTGGCCCCATCACCCTGACGATCCAGGTACGGGACTGAGGAGAGACCCTGAAGAGCCGTGACAGTGTCCTGGGGCTCTGTCGGTCCCAGCTGGGTGGGGACGCTGCCGGGCAGCGTGCCAGAGCCGAGCAGCCTCCCAGCAGATCGGTTCGGCTGCTCCCCGGCTCATGGGGTCACTGCCCCTTCCCGCAGGTGATCAGCGGGCAGCAGCTGCCCAAAGTGGCCAACAGCAAGGACGGAGCCGTCATCGACCCGCTGGTGCGCGTGGAGATCCATGGGGTCCCGGCAGACCAGGCACACCAGGAGACCAAGTACATTGAGAACAATGGTGAGCCCCACGGTGGTACCAGGGACGCTGTTGCACCCAGGCAGCCCGTCCCTGCCCTCCCTCACCCTCCCAGCACCCGCTCTCCCTTCCCAGGGTTTAACCCCCGCTGGGATGAGACACTCCAGTTCCAGCTCCACGTGCCTGAGCTGGCCCTTGTCCGCTTCGTGGTGGAGGATTACGACAAGACCTCCAGGAACGACTTCGTGGGCCAGTTCACCTTAGCCTTTGCCAACATCAAACGTGAGCGGCTGCTACTGCCCGGGGGGGGGGGGG